TGAGGCAGCTTTTAAATGAATGGTCCATATGAGATCAAACCCACAACCCTGGCCTTATAAGCATCGTGCTCTGATCTGGAAGCTGAAGATTCAAATGATGCTGTTGTAATATCTGAACTGTATTGCTCTAGATTTCATGGGCACCTGAATTGCTACTGCTTAATAGGTGATATTGCTTTTTTTGGTAATTTTTTATACTTTTACTTAACTGCGCACCGGATCTCCTGTGCCGGGAATTCTGCGCCTTGTTTTCTGCGGAGGCAGGAATCCCTGCCCACGGCAGCCTGCACCGGCCCTGCCAGCGGCTAGGGGGCGGTGTTACCCCATTGTTAAAGCAAAAACCCTAAATCCAGGGAGCCGGGGATCGGCTTTTCCTAAAAACCCTTTTCTTCCCAGTTTGCGCAAATATCAGAGCCTATGCCTTTAGAGCACTACTTAAAGTAAAACGGAATCATTTCTATCAGATACCGTCACAAATAGCTGCAGTTCCGTCAGCATTTTCATGTTTTTAGGGGTAACTAGTATGTTGTGTTTCTTTAACGACAAACTCTGATTTGCATTGTAATCTTTTGGTGTTTCTGTACCTATTCTACTGAATTTAATAGCTTTATTTTTCTTCCTTTCTTTTCTATTTTTTCCCCTCCTTCCAGGTGGCTCGATAGCATAGCAGCACAACTTCTGGTGAGGACAGGGACACAAGAATTTAGGAAAAATCTTCCTGGTCAAGAAGAGCTGTGGGAATTCACTACCAGGTCTGATAAAAACACAGGGAGAGGGGGTGGGGAATGGCAGACGTGAAACGGTGACTTTCTTTTCTTATACTTTTGCATCAGTTAAGTCACTTAGTAATCTGGATTGCACCTCCACGTGTTTTTTATTTGATTGCTTTGCTTTTGTTTTATGGTTTTTCTCTGATACTTACTGAAAGCTCTAAACCCAAATAAATGACAGGTTCAGTAAAAACTCAATCTTGTTTTTGTGCTGCAAAAGCCCATTCAAGGCTTCATAAGCCCCTCAAAATTGATTTTTGGAGCGCTGTTATTTAATCTGCCCTTTACAAAACTTTAATGCCTTGAGCAAATCCTTCTTGCCTTATTCCCACCAAAAAGCACTTTGACTTCATGGTAAGCAGATAAATGTAAGACAAAAAATGCAGTTCAGACTGTTCCCCCAGTCCCTAGTAATTCTCTAACTTCTCTATTCTCCCTTTCCCATTATTGAAGAAAGCCTCCTGTGTAAACACTACTTTTTGTGCTCCCAAGGCACACAGACTTTTTCCCATCACTAGCTTGCTCTCTCCCACCTGCTAGATTTGACTCATTAGTTCAACTTTAGCTTTGCTTCACCTCTTCACTCCCCTAAGAATTGTATTTAAAGTTCATGGCACTGCTCTTACTCTCAGCATACTTTCTCTTCGCATACCTAGCGGCACTGCAGATAATACTGCGTAATGTTCCCTGGGCTCAGTGGCTCCAACTCCAATATTTTCTTGCAGGGTTCAGTCTTTAAAAGAAGGTCTGTGGCAGAGATGGCAAAGGGAATCTACAGGCAAACCCCAGGCCAGGCAATGGATTAGTTCAGCCTCCTCGTCTGCTCAGAGGTACATTGTGATCTGAGCCGCTGCCAGCCAGACCAACCCAACACAGGGCTCCAACACTGCAGCCTTTGCAAGTGGAACTGCTGCAAAACCACATCCACTGCCTTTGAGGAGGCACCTCTGCATGTGACACCTCTTCAGAGTTTGCTGCCATCAGTTTACATGCAGAGGAGGAGGCAGAAGGACATTGGCAGGAGTGAATGCAGCGGAGTTCTGATTTTGCTGTGCACGCCAGGCCTCCAGGAGCAGGTGGATGCTGAATCCTGCTGGATCCTCCAGGTGTATTCTGGATGGATCCAGGCTGCTCTCGCTTGATGCTCTTGCTGCATTCCGAGCATTTGGGCCCAGGCTGCAAGGTGACAGGGAGCTTGAAACTGCCCAGTGTTAGGGGTTACACTTACTTCAGTCTTCTTACTTGGAAAGAAAAGGGTTTGAAGCACTAATTTTACTGAAGTTTTAGTGTCAAATAACCCCACTATCCACATTACTTTGCATTTTCTTTGTGAAAAGTTTCCAATGAAGTATAACAGCTTCCAACTAGAAAGAAACCAGTAACTACAAGTACATAAAGACTGAAGTACTGTCAGTTAATGCTGGCAGCAAGTAGCTTGGAATATTTGGTTCTGCCTTCCAAATTATTTATACTGTAATGGCCTTTAAACAATAATCCAGTGGTGATTGTGTTGTCATCCTTCCTACAATGAAATGTTTTTCCTTACCAGCTGCACCTTATAGATGTTACGTTATATTAAATGTTCTTAAACTTTTTTATAAAACTCGACCAGAATATTTTAAAAAGCATAAATATCTTTAACGTATTTGCATTAAGTACTTCTGTGTGGCTTACACTTTTACCTTTCTTTTATCTGAAGAGACTCATGAATTGAGTGATTGACAGATACAAATTGTGAGGGAGACCTCGGACTGAAATCAACAGCAAGACATTCAATGACTTAATTTTACCCCAGGGCATGTAAAAGGCAGTTGGAAAGTACTGTGCAAAGACCCAAAGGATTATGACTCCAGCCACAAAGTGGCTTATGAGGTTTTGTCTGCAACAGAAATTTATAAATAATTCCATATATGAAAAAGGAAGAAAAAGGTAATTTCTGTTACGGAAAAACGTCCTTGTGGTTCGTAAGGAGCTGCCTCCCACCCTGATGAAGAGTGTGTAGCAGTTGGATATTCTGAGATGGACTTTCTTCTTGGACCTTGACTTTCAAACATGGTTGCATTTTAATTTTTTTTTTATTATTATTAAAACCTTTTAACCTTTTTTCACTTTGGGTGGTAGTTTTCCAGAGATGAGTCAAAATGCTGGCAAGAGGAGTGCTTAGATAGAACTTTTGGATGCATGTTTTCCAGCTGTTTTCTGAACTGTTAGTGACATTTTATTCAACTTTAAACACTTAAAATGCAAGTTTGGTTTTACTGTAACAAGAAACACCCCACAAAAGCTGTGTTTTGTAACAGTAGAGGTAGTTATTAATGCAGGAATTTACAATGTGTTGCTTTTTTAAATGCCAAATAACTTGTGTGTATATATGTGTGTATGTATGTATTCAGGACATTAATGCATGAATGAATGGTTTTGGAAAAAGTGGCCTGGATTTCAGTCTGATTTTCAGTTGCTATCCTCTGCTGTGAATGTTGTAGCTATTCTTGACTTAGGCTTCTAAATGACAGGAGAATTATGCTACCTTTGTGTTAGATACACAGATAACTTCTATACAGAGCTCATCGTGTGCCATAATGATGTCAAAATTACCAGTGAAGAAGTAATCATCTCTCTGTATCACTCAGCTCAATTTCTATTGAAGTGTTTGGAAGACCAGCTTGTTTCATTGAATACCAGCAATTTGAAAAGCTGAAGCTGTCTCGAATAGTCAATGCTATCACTAACTTAGCACCTTCTAATTACCCTGAAATACTCCAGAAATCTGGTCATTGTCTTTGTTCCTCCAATTACATCCTTGTATGTGCAGCAGATAATAGACTTCATAATAGTATATGACTCTTCACATTAAACAACCAAACCACAAAACTTGTGACTTAATCAATAGCAACTTGAAAAGACCATTACAATTTCACTGAGAGAATCAGTACTTTACACAGTTGTTTGTTTTTTTTTTATTCTGTTGGATTTTGTTTTATTTTTATTTCGGGTCATGGGTTTTGGGGTTCTATTTTTGGTCGAAATGAAAATCCATCTGTTAAGAAAAAGAGGCAAGAGAGGGGAAAAAAATCTCGAGCAGCAAAGCAAACAAAAATAAGCCCTTTGCATTTGGGTTCTATGAATGTTGTACTCTCTGTATATCCTGGCATATGCTAGGCTTTTAAATAAGTGTTTTGAAGTACCTTTCAACAGTTTAGCTCCATCTGCCATCCAGTTTTTGCTATAAAAGTGGCCAGCCTGATCATCTCCCATCTCATGAGGCAACTCAAACTCCTTTAGGCAAAATTTATTGCAAAGAGAAGCAAATACCTTGAGTCGAATGGGCCAAATAGCTTGTTGACAAAACTGCCAAGAACATATATGCTGACTTCTTTTAAAAATAGAAAAAAATAAACCCAAAACAACTTAACGCGTTTGGTTGCAGCCAGAACATAAAAACACCTGAATCAAATTTTCCACATATGAAAATGAAGAAATCTGGAAGCTGAAGCTATTTTAGGCGAATTGCATTTTGTTGGGTTTCGGGGGAGTGGTACATAGTAGCAACTGTGGGAAAACCACTAAATAGTTCTCTGTTTGAACCATCTGTCACGAATATGGGACATATGTTCGCTTTGTTTATTCGGGAGCCAAGTGGAAGCCGATACACGGCGCTCAGGGCCGAGGCCGGAGCGCAGCGCGCACTGCGGGGATGCGGGGAAGGACGGGCGGTGCTCCGGCCGCCCCGGGGCCGCCGCGGGCCGCCCGGGCTTCCCCCGCGGGCGGCGGGGCCGGCTGGGGGGAGCCGCGACCGCCGAGCCCCGCGGAGGGCGGGCGGCGAGCGGAGCATCCCCGCGGGGCCGCCGCCTCCCCGCGGCTCGCCCGGTGCCGGCGGCGCCCGCGGGGATCCGCTCCGGGGCCCGAGCGGCCCCGCTCTGCCCGGCGGAACCGGAGCGGCCGCGCCTCCCGCCCGTCCCGGTTTTCCCCGGCAAACTTTGGCTGGCGGCAGCGCGGCCGCCCCCGCTCCGCCCCGGCGGCGAGCGCTCCGCGCAGCCTGCGCGGCCCCGCGCACCGCCCCGGCCCCGCGCCTCAATAAAGTTGCGGTCGGGGGGTGGAAGAGGCGAATTGCCCCGGGCGGGGGTCGGGAAGCCGCGGCTCGGGGCTGTCACGAGGCCGGCAGCGGCTGCTGTGTGCGCCCCCCTCCCGCCCCCTGCGCTCTCGGTCCCTCCCTGGGAACGGGCGCTGCCCACCCAAGGAGGCGACCGGCGCTGCTGCCCCGCTGCCGCTCGCTCACTCACACACATCACACTGACACACACACATCTGCCCGTGCGTGCGCCTCTCGCTCCCGCACTGGAGTCAGTGCTTGTGCCTGCAGGTTGCTCAGACCTCAAATCTAAGGGAAAAGCTCAGCGTTTGCGTCGCTGCTCCTGCCGCCTGTGGTGGTAGCGGTGAAGAAGAGAGGGGGTTGTGGGTTTTTTTTTTTGCTTGGTGGCTTTATTTCCCCCTTGAATTCAATGGATCTGAACTTGGAGCCTTTAGACCTCGGCGGTATTGGAATATCTACATGCTGATCATCTTTGTTGTGACACATCAGGTCGTTTGGGGAAACCATCCGAAGGACAGCAAGATGTTTCTCGTGCTCTTGTACTTCGCTTTGCCCTTAGTGGGTAAGTTGCTGATGCCTAATTTCGGTGTGCACATCGCTTCATAAAGCAAAGCATAGGGTTTATGGGACCGGGAGCCTGATGCTTGTCAGTCTATTGTTTAGGCAGAACAGTGAAGTTTCCAGTAGTTTTTATGGCTCTGCCTCACATCAGTTAGCCCGGTCTAAAAGCTCTGTAGGTTACAGACTTCGGTACTTGCCTGTTTAGCCTCTTGTTAAATTGGGTTCTCGCAAGTTACAGGGAAACTTTTCATTTAAATAAAATCAGGCTGCCTGAAAAGGGTGGGGGATGACAAGACCAGCTGAAGGATTACATCTTCACCTGAACCTGGCAGCATGCCCGACTGGTAGTGGTTTGCAGCCCAAACTGGTTTCCTTTCCTTTCCTTTGCGTTTCCATCCGCATGTGTCTGAGGGAGCATGACGGGGGCACGATGGAGAGGAGGGAGTTAATGCAATTTGCTTTGTTCTCCTGTAAAAGCATCATACGTGGAGAGAAGGGAGGGGGGGGGCAGTAACAAATTCTACCTTTATGCATATAGAATAAGCAAGAATGTGTACAGCCTTTAAAAAGTGACTGACGCAAATATCGATCAGTGAGGATACTTATCTCTCTGAGCGGGTTGTTCCTGGATGTAAGTGAAATTACAGCAAAGCTCATGTGAAAAGTGAGGATGAATATTTAACCCCTTAGTTAAATTTTGGAATGGAAAGCTGACTTGTTTCACCAAAGTGGATGATGGAGTAACAAATGCTTGTTTTATCAGGCACATTAATCCCTCCGGGTTTTCTTCCCTTTTTCTATTTCCTCATAAATCAGCCACTAGGGTTAAAAAATACAGTTTCCTTGGACTCCCCCGAAAGTGGATCTAAGCCCATGGAAACCCTGTGTGCTTTTTCCTAAGGCGTAGCATGAAGGCAGGAGGTTTGCCAGGTGCTGTCCCTGGGGCTGGCTGCATGTGCAGCGTGCGGAGGCGCCCCTGGAGCTGGGGGCAGACGCGCCCTGCTCCCTCCAAGAGCGCGCCTTGCTTCTGTCTCTCTCCATAGATGTACTTTTGTCTGCAGAAGTGAGCGGGCTGCCTGGAGGGGACCGCCTGGACTGCGTGAAAGCCAGCGATCAGTGCCTGAAGGAGCAGAGCTGTAGTACTAAATTCAGGACACTGAGGCAGTGTGTAGCCGGCAAAGAGAGCAACTTCAGCCGGGCCACGGGCCTGGAGGCGAAGGACGAATGCAGAAGCGCCATGGAAGCTCTCAAGCAGAAATCCCTGTACAACTGCCGCTGCAAGAGGGGCATGAAGAAGGAGAAGAACTGCCTGCGCATTTACTGGAGCATGTACCAGAGCTTGCAGGGTACGTGGCGAAGCGCAGACCCCCCGGCTGGGTTTGGGGAGCGGGGCTGGCCCCGAGCTCCGCCGGGCTCGGAGCCCGCGGCTCTCGCTGTGCCGCCCGAGCATCGCCGGGCTCCGCTGCCGGCTGCGGAATCCACAGCCAGCCTGCCCTCCAGGGAGCCCACTGACCTTCCTAAACACAGCCAAAAGATAGGGGCGAGAGCATGTCCAAGAGCCACAAAAACAGGCATCTGGAGACATTTTCCTGATAATATTAAAACTCCTTGATTAGGACTCGCCTAACAACACGGGAACTAGTTTCTTAGCCTTTTTGCTGAAAGTTAAATATGAGGAGAAGATCGTTTTAAGTAAAAGTTTAGTTTTTCCTTTCCTGTATTTCCTAGCAGTATTCCCTGGGCATACTGAGCAAAAAAAAAAAACCCCAAAGTTTATGGTTCCTACAGCATGTAGATGTGCCACTTAGAAGAGATATGACAGTGATTGACTCAGGACTGCTCCATTATTCATATTCATAAAGCAAATTTCTCTTAGTCTACTGAGAACAGTCAGGTCCTTATATGAGAGACATAATTTTTAGTCCTCTTTTGCTTTGGCCCTGGAGTTGAAGGTGTAATCTCTCCAGTGTGCTCCCCATTTAACTTCTATTTTTAAGTTGCCTCTGCAAAAAGGGAAACAATGCCTTCCTGTTCATTTATTCATATGTTTTAATGAGTCCATATATATATTTTTTTGCTAAAGGTAATAACAGACGTTTTCTACATCCTAAAAAGTTTATCTTCCAGCAGCATCTTGTTGGGAATGTTTCATACCAAAGATGCTCGTTTTTGGCTGTTAGCTGAGCTTCTCTATAAAAGAGCTCTGCTGTTACAGTGAATGAAGAGGAACAGCCTTGCTACAGCTTCTCTCCTGCTGGCATGAGATGGGACAGTCTCTGTGATGTCACAGGCTGTCTCTGCAAGTTATGACCTTCCCCAAGGAGGAGGGAGTTCAGAAGAGATCTAGTGACAGGGATAAACAATTAGCTTCTTTCAGGTGTATTTATAGGTAATTCATTGAGAAAGAGTAGCCATATAAACTTTTTAAAGGGATTAAAGGGGAGTACATTTCACTGTTATGGAGTAAAAGTAAACAAAAAACCTTATCCTGAATTCGTGTGTAAGAAAAAATTCCAAATATTTTTTGTCCTTAGGAAATGACTTGCTTGAAGACTCCCCTTATGAGCCAGTCAACAGCAGACTATCAGACATATTCAGGCTAGCACCAATGGTATCAGGTAAGCAGACTTAAACTTCTTTAACTGACACATGATTTTGTAATTGAATTATGGAACTTTCAAGCAGTACTCATAAATAAAAAGAAATGGTAATGGCTTCCTGGATTTAGGAAGCTCATGATATAGTTGCACAAAAGAAAAGGCTAATTGGTTTTGAAGTGAAAGAATACTTGGCAGGATGGCAATTTGTATTCTTTTTGAGTCATTCTTGACAATAAATGCTAAATTTTCCTGTAGGTGGCAATCTGATTCCCCGCGTTCCCAATTTACAAATCAGTTCCTTTTCGGGTATTTGGTCAGTGCAAGTTACCTCTTATTGACATTACAGGAGATCAGAAGATACATCTTTCAGATGTTTTCATAAGGGAATGCTTTATCCTACAGTTTTGTAAAAACAGAAAATTCGGAATTAAAGCTTGTCCTCTTTTCTGGAATTGCTGCCTTTTTAAAGATTTTATTCACAAGTTCCTCCTTTTTCTGTTTTTTCTTGTTGCTGTGTGGCTGCCTTTCAGAACTTTTTTTGTGGTATTTTGCATGTATTGTATGGGTATTAAGCAATGATGTTGGTTCTTTATCAGCCTAAGCTGTACTCGTGTGGGGTCACAACAAATCAAATGTGCACAGCTTAGTGTGTAAGTTGGACAGTGCTGAACTGACAGGCTATGGATAAGCATTAGGAGATGCCTCTTTAAAAGAAAGGGGGAAAAAATGACCAGAGAGAGTGGCTTGACCAATTTACAGATGTACTTACACTTTTTAGAACTCAAAGTCCCATTAAAAGCCAGGGGTACTTAGGTTGTTAAGTATTTAATGGTACAGATTTTCAAAGGCTATAGACACATAAAATGTAGATAACTGCCCATTGGGATTTTCAAAAAGGACTAAGTGATTTAAATAGGCGTTAGATGCCCAGGCAGTTTTGAAAATTTTAAGTGCTTAATGCAGCTTTAGGTATCTTAATGCCTTTGAAAATCGTCCCTTTAGTCACTTTTCAATATGTGACTCAGGTCTTTATCCTGTACATTTTTTGAAAGCATTGATAAATCAGCAAAGATAAATCTCTGAAGAATCTTTATTTATTTTATTTTTTTATTGCTTAAAACTCTGACTTAATAGAAAACCAAGACAAAATCAGTGCGGAGGAGTTCCAGGCTGTTTTCTTAAAGTTTATGATCAGCCTGCCTGGGGCCAAATTCTAACATACCTCAGCAGTTTTGTGATCTCCAAAGGAATACCCTATCTGCATTCTGCCTTTCTGTTGGTTTTTTTTTTTTTTTAGGTTCCCCATTTACTTGCAGAATAATTACCTTAAAAATGTGATTTTCATGCACCTTTTCAGAGCAACAATGAAGTAAGATATAGTTGCCAACAGATGATGTCCATTCTACCACAGTTAGGACTCATCCCATGTTTTCAGTGCTCCCCAAATTGCTGCTCCGTTGGTGAGAAATTTCAAGTTTACAAGGATGGGAGGCCTAGAATTCATAATGAGCAACAAACAAAAGTTGTCATCTAGAGGAAAAACACCAGTATTTGAAAGTATTGTCAGCTGAAAGAAAAAGATTAGCAAAAACATTTTTCTTATTGTCATGGTTACTATTGCATGTTATATTCTTTAATGCTCCTCAGCCTTAACGTTTTTTTTGCAGAGCTCTGCAAATACAGCAGGATTTGGTAAAATTTGATTAAAACAAACAAAAAACAATCCCTGTACAAGTAATGTTAGCAGGGGTTTCATAACCGGTGTTCTGCTAACGTGGACATTGTGTTTATAGATGTTGCTTCAGTGTTCACTCCCATTAAAGTTAGTTATGTGTAATTAAAAGTGGGAATTAACTCTTTCATATCACAAAGCCCATTCTGTGGTCCTGTATTACTTGGACTTATATCAAGTGTAATGTCTTTGCCACCTTCTGTATGTATTTGTGTGGTAGTGTAGAAAATCACAATAGTTTTATTTTGTACTATGTAAATCATTGGCTGAGATGTCTGTTTTGTGTCAGGTAAGTCTTTGTAGTGTACTCAAGCCTGACCAAATGAAGGACAATTTTTAAAACCAGTTAAAGTTGATGTAATTCTATTCTGATAGATATTCAAAATTGCTTCCCCTATGGAGACAAGATGACACATTCGCTTTAATTCAAGCATCAATATGTTGATTTAGAAGAAAAACCAGGAATGTATGGCCAAACCTGTTCCTAAGTTTGAGTCTACCCAGTTGAAAGACTGGGCTGTCTTGTTTTCTGTTTTGGGCATATCTAGGTTTGAAATTTTTTTATAACTGCTATCTCAGATGTGGTGCTTCTGCCTCAAGGGTGTGAATTTCTTCTTGTAAAGCAGCTCTTCAATTTGCTGAAGACTTTCGTGTTAGTTTTGGAGGGTAACAGATTTGGGTTAGTTATTATGATGTAAAGATTTTGCTTAAACAGGCATTTTTGCTTGAACCTTTACAACTTTTGAGAGGTGAAAACATTTTAAGGCCATTGACTTCTGTCACAACTACAGTAAATGCAAAATCTGTTGATTATATTTCAGAATTGAGTTTCACACTACATTAAGGAGAGATGCTTGAATTAGTAACTTCTTAAAGCTGTCTGTGGCTTTTTACTACCTGGACAACAGTTTGCCTCTTAAATTTGTATTGTAGTTGACATTGAGCTCTGCAACTGGAAGATATGTTATTATTTTGGTATTAGCTGATACAGTATAGTGGTCATGGGCACCTTGTAAGAAAATATCTTGCATAAAAATGTAGCTGCACATACCTGTAGAAATATTTAACAAAGTAATGTTTCTGAAATGTCTCATTCATCTCAACAGAAAAGGGACAGCCATTCCATCTGAATAAAATGCCTCAAGCCATGGCTGTGAAGTGGTGTAAAATGAATACTCAGTGTTAAAAAGAGTTGGCTATTTAGATCAATGCATTTAGGGTGACAAAATCCTCTCCTCCCTTGGATTCACTTCTAAGTTGCCTGGCTGTTCATAGGCTTATTATCCCATTGTTCAGCTTTGTGAATCTTCTTTCTTTTACATCCATTATGTTCAGAAATAATCTTAAAAGAACAGGCTACATAAATCAGAACATTTGTTAAAACACAGTGTTTTCTGTTTATCTGTGAAGAATTGGTTGGTTACCTGCTGCTAGTTAGGCCTTGTTTCTAGTTGCTGAAGCACAGGACTGGTAGAAATTCATTATTTTGCCATTATTCTTAGTGTAGTAAACTGTTTTTGCAAAGTTCCTTTTGTATCATTAGCAAATCAGTGAAAGAAAATTGCTCATCTGATTTTGTGTCAAAGGGAATGTTCTGATTCTGCTGTTCTCATGAGAGGCTGCCTGATCTAAAATCTCTGGGAATCTTTTGTTGTAGAAGGTATAGGGAAGCTTATATTTAGGAAAGGGTGTATTTTATATTATAGTAAACTTCTAAATTAAAGCCAAGAATTCAGTAGAGAGCACAGCATGTCGGGCTTCTTGCTGGAGTGTGTCATTCCAAGTTAGAACTCATCATGTGAAGTTACCAGGTTTGCTTTGCCCATTGAACAAGCTGTGAGTGCAAACAGAAACAGATATGGTCAGTAAGGTGGCTTTTTATTGTGTGTGAAAAGTTGAGATTAAAATGTCAGCAGTGCTGGAATCCCAGGAGTGAGTGTGTGGCTCTTACACTCTTTTCTTTCTGTGGGATGCATGAGGATGGTCTGGGTCTCCCTCTAGGATCTCTCCCTTGCTCAGAAGGAGAGTAGGTTGATCAATAGTTTGCCTAACTTCCTTTGAGTTTTTCAAAGTCTTTTAGGCGTTTTGTATAATTCATTCACAAATCACTAAGTTGATTGTGGGGAAATAATGAATCCAGTGTGCAAAACACCTTCTTCAGGATGGGGCAGACTTTTATAAGGGAATAATTCCCTGTCCCCAGTGTAAAACCTGCTCTGAGTATTGATGGCACCTGTTTGCCCCCTCCCCATTATATTTGTCTTCTCAAGGATGGGGTAGAGACATCACTGACCATGAACTGCTGGTGTTTCCTTGGAAGAGTTGCCATCAGCAAAGGTGGGGGAGGAAGGTTGGGGTTTTCCAATCTGAATTCCCATGATGCAGAGAAAGAGCTTCCTTGTCTGCGTGCTTCTCCTTGTACCTTCTCCTCCTGCTATTCTGTTGAATTAGAACAAGCTGTGTCATAGTGAATTAATATCCCCAAAACTTTCATTACCCCCGAAATTCTTTTATTCAAGAATGGAGGGTTTCCCTATTCATTTTTGTAATTCTTGACCTGATGTAAGAGATGTGTTCTGGGTAACAAGTCCATGACACATTAATTATTCTTTACTTCTTTTTTTTTTTTCCTACCTGGTAAAAGAGTTTTCATTTGTAGAATCCGTGTATGGCCTTTTTTAGATTGTTTATCAAAAAGATAAGTTAGAATCTCTCTCCTGGCCAAGGGATACACTGCTTTTTCTTTTTGGGGTTTGTGCCATGTGAGTTAGTGGCTTCTGCTATGAATTAATACTGTGTGACATCTCCAATTCCTGTTGCCTGAGGCCTCTAATCCTGTTTCTGTTCCTAAATCTGCATGTATTTCAAATGCCACATATTTTTCTAATCTAACACTATGTCTTTATGAAACTTCTGTAAGTTTATATGAGATGCCACTTTTCTACAAAGGCAGTTTTAAAATTTTTAATTTAAAAAATATGAAAAATGTTTATTTCTGTTGATGCTCTGCAATGATTTATTAAGTCTTACCCCCTTTATCACTGCTTCTTAGTTAAAAAGTTGAGATACTCATGTTAGTTATCTTGTGTATACACCCGAGTTCATAAACAGTAAACCAGATCTTATTAGGCTAATAGGAATCTTGCAATCTGATTCTGTTTCCTGTTGGATTTTTTTTTTTTTTTGGCTTAGTTCTGGTTTTCTGTGAGGTCGAGCCCTTTGGTAACAGAAAAGTAAAAACTTCTTATATTTAATCTAAATTAGATTGTCACACACACAATTGTAT